ATATATATATATATATATATATATATATATATATATATATATATATATATATATATATATATATATATTATATATATATAGTTATATACATAGTGATCTATAGTGCCTTCTAGCTTCCATGATTCCTTTGAAACCACAGTCTTCTCCCTTTTCTTCCATTCCCACAATTTCTATGAATAAGTGAAGTCAAGGTCGCGGGCCCTTATACAAGGGTACCATTGAATACCTTTTCTGCCATGGCCACTCTCTGCAGGATACTATTCTTATTTATTCTTTTATAATCATTATGAGTTGGTGGTGGTGGTGGTTATTCTATGGATGTTGTTTTTAAATGGAATGGGGAATTGGGATAATTGATAATAATCATCGTAGTCATCAGAGGTAGTCATCTGTTCAGAGATTGTAGAAATTGTAGTTATAGTGAGGGTCTCAGTTATAGTGTAAAGGACAGAGGAAAAATGGGATATAATGTAGTGTAGGGTTATAGTCATCCACGTGCTTATCTTGTATAATTATGTTGAGACTATTATAGTGTATGTTTATTTCTATTCTCACATTCGCTATTCCTCTCTGTCTTGCTCTGTCTGTCTGTTTGTATGTATATGTATCTCTCTCTCTCTTTCTCTCTGTCTCTGTCTCTCTCTGCCTTTCTCTCTCTCTTTCTATCTCTGTCTCTGTTTTTCTCTGTCTCTGTCTCTCTCTGTCTTCTCTCTGTCTCTCTCTCTGTCCTCCTCTTCTCTCTCTCTCTCTCTCTCTCTCTCTCTCTCTCTCTCTCTCTCTCTCTCTCTCTCTCTCTCTCTCTCTCTCTCTCTCTCTCTCTCTCTCTCTCTCTCTCTCTCTCTCTGATTTTGAACATCATCATATATTCAACATGATTTAGTTGCTGATTTAAAGAAAATAGACAAAATAGATTGTCTACAAATATTACTTTTCGACAGTGATAAAATATGTAATTTCAAAAGTTGTTCAAAAATATTGGTCAATAACAAAGAAGCTTTTCTCAGATAACTGGTCATAACTTGCAAGGCATAATGTCGATATTTGCATGAATTGGAATTTTAAATCGTTGGGTGTATTCTGTGTGTATTTTGAGAAGATAATCCTACACCAAGATATTATGGAATAAATTTGTGTGTGTGTATGATAGATGTTTAGATCGATAGATCGATAGTTAGCCACACACACACACACACACACACACACACACACACACACACACACACACACACACACACACACACACACACACGCGCACGCGCGCGCGCGCGCGGGAGAGGGTTGGAGAGAGAGAGAGAGAGAGAGAGAGAGAGAGATGAGATAGTTAGATAGATGATAGACAGACGGAGCAGAGAGAGAGGGGGAGTAGAGACATAGACAGAGAGAGCAAAAGAGACAGGGAGGACAGGGGGACAAGGGAGGAGAAACGCTAAACTATATACATTAACTTCCATTTGTGGGAATCTCAATACTATTTCCTGAATTATAATAAAAGTAATTATCACGCCATCTATTTTCTAAATTTCGCAGACGAAGAAAAAAAAGTGATCATTATCATCCATCACACAAGTTAATGGAAAGAAATATTATTCTAGAAGATGATACGAGAGATTATTTTGGACATTACAAATTGGAATTTTACCCGATTAAGTACTTGAAAGGTGGCGGGCACGAACGTAGACTTTCTAAACCTGATGTATAATTGACAAGACGGAAGTACAGTGAAAACATTTTTTTTATGTGAATAGATAACATATCATAAGATAAACAAAGAGTATAAATAAATGCAGTGTCTTTTTAGTAAATAAAGATAAAGGGAAAATCTATAATCGTACATAACTTTGCTAACATAGCTATGCAAATGATTTGATAGGCATTATAAGTATGATGTCCCTGTATGTAATAGAAGAGGCAAGATTCCCTTATGTTGCCTTGGGATGTTGAGATCTATGTTTGACCGTGAAAACGTGTTGCTAAGCATTGCAGGTACTAAGGGGATATTGACTGAGTCTATGTGTTAAACTCCGTGATGTCTGCCTCTCCCCTTTCTCTCTCTGTCTATCTGTTTCTGTTTTTTCTCTCTTGTCTTTGTCTCTGTTTTCTCAGTCTCTCCGTGTCTCTGTCTCTGTCTCTTTCATCTCTCTCTCTCTCTCTCTCTCTCTCTCTCTCTCTCTCTCTCTCTCTCTCTCTCTGTCTCTCTCTCTCTCTCTCTGTCTAGCAATCTTGCTGCGTTCGATCTCTGAGTGGTATCCCGTCCATCTTGCACACAGGGGGAGATTTGGGCAAAATAAAACTATGTCTATCCATTGTAACAAATCTACTTTTTAAATCTCTCTCTCTCTCTCTCTCTCTCTCTCTCTCTCTCTCTCTCTCTCTCTCTCTCTCTCTCTCTCTCTCTCTCTCTCTCTCTCTCTCTCTCTCTCTCTCTCTCTCTCTCTCTCTCTCTCTCTCTCTCTCTCTCTCTCTCCGTTTGCCTGCCTGTCTCTCTGTCTTTCTCTCTCTCTCTCTCTCTCTCTCTCTCTCTCTCTCTCTCTCTCTCTCTCTCTCTCTCTCTCTCTCTCTCTCTCTCTCTCTCTGTCTCTCTCTCTAATCCATTCACTCTTTCTCTCTCTCAAACAGACAGACAGACAGAGACGAAACCATAGAAAGACAGAGAGACAGAGTATGTGTATGTGTGTCTTTGCGTGTTTCCACTTTATGGTAGTTATCAAAATCGAGGACCAAGGCATCATATTAACAAAGTAATGTTCTATGGTAAGGTAATGCTTATGACTGGTGATTTTTTTATCTATTTTATTATTATATTATTGTTATTTTGTCTGTGACTCACTTAAAGATACCCTTAATGCAGAGAAGAACACAGATGTTATAGTTCTTTGTCATCGCTTTTCTGGTAAAATGGATGACGGACTCACAGAAACTATTAAGATATTTACGATGCACATATCCCTTCAAGTCTTGAGTGTTTTTTTAAAGTGAAATCGTTATTTGTTCATGAAAGATTGAACAAAGTTTGCTTGATCACATGCGAAGATGATTAGATTTTGAGTTGGCTGATTAGAGTAAGGCTAAACTATTGTTAAACTGTTTATTCAAATGTTAGAGTTCAATCACGCTATGGATACGGTAGGAAATATAACACTTAAGAGCGTCTTCCTGTGTTGAGTCTGTGGCGAAAGTATCCTAACACGATTTGTTGTTCTGCCTCTCTCTCTCTCTCTCTCTCTCTCTCTCCTCTCTCTCTCTCTCTCTCTCTCTCTCTCTCTCTCTCTCTCTCTCTCTCTCTCTCTCTCTCTCTCTCTCTCTCTCTCTCTCTCTCTCTCTCTCTCCTCTCTCTCTCTCTCTCTCTCTCTCTCTCTCTCTCTCTCTCTCTCTCTCTCTCTCTCTCTCTCTCTCTCTCTCTCTCTCTCTCTCTCTCTCTCTCTCTTTCCTGTTGCCTGCCTGTTCTCTGTCTTTCTTTTTTTTTGTTCTCTGTTTTTCTTTCTGTTCCATGGTCTTTCTTTCCCTCCCTATGCTATGGACGCACTTTGATATGCCGTCAGATAATCGATAAATGTTATATTATCTGTCCTCGTTTACATGGGGACGAACCCTCTGTTTCCGGTGCGTGGCGTGACAGGGGAAAGAGGGGGGAAGGGGGGGGGGGAGTAACACGTGTTATTTCGCCGTTACTGTTGTCATAAAACTTATTTCTACTTCTATTACAAATGAGTATGGAAACCCGTTATGGTTGTCATAAAACTCATTTCTACTTCTGTTACAAATAAGCATGGAAACCCGTTATGGTTGTCATAAAACTTGGACTTGTTTTCTACTTCTATTTCTCATAAGTATGAAAACCAAACTCGTCTATTTACTTTTAAAGGCAAATATTCACCGACCTGTCTCGCTGTTCCCACACCTCTTCTCTGTGTGTCTCTGTGACTCACGCTCTTTGTAATGTTACCTTGCTGTCTACACCAGAGCATATTTCTCGCCTAAAATATTCACGTCTTTTATCGACCGAGGGGGGGGGAAGCTTTGAGGGGGGAAGGGGGCGGGTGTGTGTGTGGGGGGGGGGCGTGCAGGGGAACAGGTAACTTTTCTGTGAACCAGTGAACAACCCCCCCCACCCCCACCCCACCCTCCTCTTCGCTTCCCCTCCTGCAGCACCCACGATATACTGTCAAATAGCTAATCGTTAAATAAACAAGTGCTACGCTATACTGATATGTGTATTTGTACATATATATATATATCGTGTGAAAATAAGGAAATTTGAACATTGCAGTTAATTTTTATTACAGAATAAAAGAGATTGGCATAGACTGTCAAAACTGACAGGAAAGCGAAAGGAGAGTGAGAAGAGATTGGATTCAATGATTGTTTCGGTTCAAAGAGAGAGAGAGAGAGAGAGAGAGAGAGAGAGAGAGAGAGAGAGAGAGAGAGAGAGAGAGAGAGAGAGAGAAGAGAGAGAGAGAGAGAGAGAGAGAGAGAGAGAGAGAGAGAGAGTGAGAGCGTTACTCCCACACCTGAAACACGCGCGGGAGATCACGTGATCGCTCGTAGTCTCATGATATGCTTGTTCTTTTATGTTTTTCTTTCTCTATCCAAACTTTATGCAGGTATAAAGTTTTGGAACATTCACATTCAGATGAAGATTTCTCAGAAAACCTTTCAGAATTCGGCAGCGAGCATTGGAACAATACCCGAATCTTTACATAATTGTCTAGCTTTTACAGAAGATTTGTATATCCGAAGCTTACATAATATAACTATGATACAGCTTGTACAGAAGATTAGCTTTAAAAAAATCATAAATCTCCAGCATGTTCTTAAGTACAGCCAAGGATAAGATTAGCTTTTAAAAATCATCACAATCCTACTGCATGTTCTTAAGTACAACCAAGGATAAGATTAGCTTTAAAAAAAAAAACACCATAATTCTACATATTCTTAAGTACAGCCTAATCTCCCTAGCCTGATGAGCCCCAGCCATGTACTAACTAACCTTGTCGTTCCAGACGAGCAGCCCGTTGGCTCCGCCCCCAAGATGACGTCATCCACCACCACGCGGCCGCCGGGGTTCGTCCAGTGCTACGTCTGCCAAAGGGAATTCGGATCCCGGTCCATTGAGATCCACGAACCTCAGTGTCTCGAAAAGTGGAGAGTCAGAAACGCCAGGTTGCCAAAGTTAGTTCGAGTTTTTAAAGTTCGTTTTGTTTATTTTGGAAGGGGTTTGGGATCTCCTTAACCTCCCCCCCTCCCCCCCTTCCCCCAGTGGTGGGTTCGAAATTATTTTATGGGAAGGATAAATGAATCTGAAGGAAATGGATGAGTGAGTGGAGTCTAAATTGAGTATAAGAAGGAAGTTGGAAGTTTGAAATATACTTGGAAAGTTTGTGTTTTTGTGAATACTCGAGTGGTGCTTTTAGACTTTTTTTTTTTGAAAAATGCAAAGTTAACATGTGAATTTATGTGTGTGATTAAGTCATGGAGATTTAAATAGAAGTGGAAAAATAGCTTTCGGGATGAAAGTATCTTCGTCATCACGGTGTATGTAAGTGAATGTTATGAAAATAATTGACTAAAATGTGCTTTGATTGTGTTAAATAATTTCAGAAAGACTTTATTGAAAGAATATATGGTAACGTACTTTGACTACGTCTAGAATTTCGTATTATATCAAGAATTTTATTTTATCATAGGTTAATAGATTGTGAATAGATATTTTTCACAATTTACATACTTTTTTGTTTTGTTTTTGTTTTTTAGTTATCACATTCATTACTATTTTCATTTTTTAAAATTATTTTCATATAAGCTATTTCTATTGTGTGTAGCTTTACTCTCCATTAGATGTGTACATTTTTTGTTGATAAATTTTACTGTATGATCTTTAATCAGATGATAGAGATTTTAATTATCATGTATCACTACTTTAGATAATTTTATTGCAGACGCTAGAGATTGAATATGTATATATATATATATATATATATATATATATATATATATATATATATATATATATGTATGTATGTATGTATGTATGTATGTATTGACACCTTAGGCCATAAACCCGCTTTAAAAAAAAATTCATAAAATGAGGGGTTCAGAATTGCAGAAAAAATAAATTTATAAAATTCGACGGACGAATGGAATCCCGTGTATTTCTGGAGATCGTACATGGCTGACCTATCGAAGCTGACATATAAGGAATCTGTTACGTCATACATCTCTTATATTTGACATTCCGTTACATACATTAGGAAACTTTACTCGTTCGGTAGGCCATGTTTTATAACGTTTTATTTTCTATATCTGAGATTCATTTTCAAATCGTCTTGATAACGTACATGATGTACTCAGAAACGTATTTAATTTTCATGTAATATTGCTTTACCACTTTTTTATTTTTTTAATTTAGTCCTTTATTTACCACCCTGGCTAACTGCACAGGCGTGGGCAAGCTGTGGTACAATTGATACATGGTCAGAGCATTATATAATAGTATTACAGTGTAAATCTAGATCATAACATTATTACGATCTATAATATATCATTTAAAAGAAAAGAACAATCACAGTAATGTATCTACTCATCTACCAAGCCGGCGTACGGACCAGACTAATATCGAAGACTGATATAAAAAATCCGTAGAATAATGACATATTTTTTTCTTTGTACGCTCGTGGTTAATTTTTTTTTCTCAAAATCGTTATCGATAATTTTTGGAGATATCGACTAGCACTATTTTTTTTTTTTTTTTTTTTTTTTTTTTTTTTTTGATCGATGCACAAAGTAAGGAAAATGTCTCTGTGATGTAACTATAAACATACGTTAGGAATGCCGTATGTTTATTTCTATTGTTTTCTATGTTTATTTTCTTCTCTTTGTCTTCTTTATTCTTCTTTCTTTTTCTCCTTCATTCTTCTTTTATCTCTTGTTCTTTCATGCCTTATGTTTATTTCTAATATTATGTTGTTTTCTGTGAGTTTATTTTCTTCTTTTTGTCTTTTTCTTCTGTATTCTATTCTTTCTTGTTTTCCTTCATTCTCTCTTTGTACGTCTTGTTCTTTAATTTTTTCTCTCTTTCTTATTTTTTTCTCGTCCTTCAGCACTTCTTTCTTTTCCTTTTGTTCTTGTTCTTATTCGTGTGTATCTTCCTCCTGCTCCTTCTTATTCTTATTCTCCTCCTCCTTCTTCGTCTTCTCCTCCTCCTCCTCCTTCGACTTCTCCTCCTCCTCCTCCTTTTTGTTCTTGTTCTTCTCCTTCATCTTTTTCTTCTTATTCTTTCATCTTCTTCCATCATTTTCTTCTTATTCTTCTCCTCCTTCTCTTCCTACTCCTTCTTCATCTCCTCCTTTTGTTCTTCTTCTGCTCCTCCTCCTTCGTCGTCTTCTTCTTCTGTTCCACTTCCATCTACTTTCCCTCCTCTTCCTCTTCCTCATCTTCCTTCACCTCCTCCTCCTCTTCCTCATCCTCCTTCTCCTTTTCTCTTCTTCTCTTCTTTTCTCTTTCTTCTCCTCCTCCTCCTCCTCCTCTTCCTTTGTCTCCTTCTCTTGTCCTCCAACTTCTCTTTCACTTCTCCTGCCTCCTCTTCACTCTCCCCTTCTCATTCCCTCCTTCCCTTCCTCCTTCCGCCTCTATCCACCTTCCAAAATGGCTGCACTTAAACACAGTCATATTTGCCCATTCATTACGTCAAGGAAACGCGTCTCGGAGTGTTGCCAGTGGTTATTACACGTGATAGAAACTGACTAATGACTTGTGCCTTTGCATATTATAAGAAAAAAGCGCTGAAGTGTATTTTTTCCCTGGTGTTGTGTGTGACATGACGGGTGAAATCTCAGTGTTTGGGCTTATACGTGCGTGCGTAAGGATCGCTTCGTCAGGGAGTGTGTGTATAAATTTGTTATTATCGGAGAATTGAGGATATTGTAAGTGCATTAAAGTTTTTTTTTCAACAAGTGGTGAGATTATGATAAGTATTGGTGAACGAGATATTACTGATGGATTATAAAGCTATGGTTGAAGTGATTTGGTGTTAAAACTTTTTTTTTTGGTGAAGTGTTAAAAATTTCGTGTCAAAGAGGATATATGCCCTATAAAACTCCCAAGAAATTATATTAAATAAAGAAGATATATAAGAATCAGTTATCAGCAGATGCCATTCTACAATAAATCGATAAATCATATCAAGGAATTCACTTATCTGGTCCATTTTACACTCAGAACCCCTGCTGAGAATTCTAGCCATCCACACAAGAAAGAAAATTATAAAATGACATGAAATTTCGCAACGTAATTTCAAATCAATGGCCTACACAGGACCATTGCATTTTAACCCGTTAAAAAGTAGGTTAACTGGGGCTCACTTTTTAACGGTCGGTCCTGGAATTTGAATAGACTTAGGCTGTTTTGGAAATATAATATCTGTATTGTTTTTGTCTATTATATTTTGTTTGTATTATTGTGTTATTTTTTCTATAATAATGAAATTTTTAAAGTACTATTTTTGATATTATCACTATCATTATCATTATTACTGTTAATTTTCTTAATAGTAGGTGTAGCAGTAGTTGTATCAGCATTGTTTTTATCATTGTTTGATTATATAGATTGTTATGATTATTGTCATTGTTATTATTGTTATATTGATATATATTATTATTACCATTATTGTTATTGATATAAATATTATTATTACTATTATTATTGTTGTTGTTATTATTATTATTATTATCATTATTATTATAATTATTGTTGTTATTATAATCATTGTCATTATCATTATTATTATTAACATTATTATCATTGTTATTGCTATTATCATTATTATTATTGTTGTTGTTGTTATCATCATTATTGTTATTGTTATTATTGCTGTCATTATCATTATTATTATTATCATTATTACTATTATTATTGTTATTATTATATAGTAGTATCAGTATCATTATTGTTATTATCATGATTATTATTATTAATGATATTGTTGTTACTGCTGTTGTTACTGCTATTATCATCATTGTCATTAGTATTGTCATTATCATTTTTCTATCACTATCATCATTACCATCATTATTAGTATTGTCATTAGTATTATCATTATTAGTATTACTGTAATTATTATTATTATTATTATTTATAGTAATGTTGCAATTGTTATTATTATTATCATTATTATTATTATTATCATTATTATTATTATTATCATTATTAGTATTTTAAGTAGTAGTAGTAGTAATAGTAAGAGTAGTAATGTTATTATTATTATCATTATCCTTGTAATATGAATATTACTTGATTATCAATATTAGAAGTAGTACTAATAGTTGTATCTTTATTACTGTTACTATTATTATCAACATTACAGGGATCACCATTATTGTTATTATCATTATTGTTATTATTATTATTATTATTATAATGATGATAATTATTATCGTATTTACTAATGAAATTATTATTGATATTGTTCTTGTTGTTAACATTATCGCTGTTATTGTAATTATGTTATTGTTATAATCATTATTACTAGTAATATCATTATTCATTATTATCACTGTTACTATTATTTTCATTATCATTATTATTGCTGTTTTTGTTCTGGTTAGGATAATAGTAATAATGCTGGTACTATTACAATTATTATTATCTTAGATTAGTTATTAATATTATTATAATGATTGTTGATTTTATTATGATTATCATCATATCACCATTATCATTATTGTCATTATTATCAATGCTATTATTACTATCTGTTATCAATCATCATTACTATTATTATTAATAATATTATTCTGTTATTGTTATTGTTATTGTTATTATTATTATTATTTTATTATTATTATTATTATATTATTATTATTATTATTTATTATTATTATATTATTATTATTATTATTATTATTTTATTATTATTATTATTATTATTATTATTATTATTATTATTATATTATTATTATTATCATTATTATTATTATTATTTTATATTTATTATTATTATTATTATATATTTATTATTATTATTATTTATTATTATTATTATTATTATTATTATTATTATTATTGTTGTTATTGTTATCATTATTATCATTATTATTATTGTTATTGTTATTATTATTATTGTTGTTGTTGTTGTTGTTGTCGTTATTGTTGTCATTATTATTATTGCTGTAGTT